GCCTTTCTTTCAAAGTGTCTCTGGTTGGATTCAAACCACCAAACTTTAGGTAAGTAGTCAAGTACTTAATCATTTGCATCACCCAGTGTGTGTGTTGTGTATGTATAAATACAGCTATATATATTTATAAAAGTATATGTATAGTTACATATATCACAGTAATATATAAATACATTTATATTTATAAGTATAAGACGTATATAAAGTTCTTTTGTAACACAGATATATAAAAATAGTTTTATGTGTGTGTTTATACATATATATATAAGTGTATTTATACATCTAATTCTGTTACACAAAGAAAAATAGTACAACATTTTTGTACTAACTTAAACACTCAAGGAGCATCTTGTGGGCAAAGACTGTGGTTATGTTCGACAGTTATCCATGGAGGAAACAAGAAGTAACTGGTTTGGCAAGATTTGATGTAAGAAAAACTCAGGTGCTATATGCAAATCTTTGCTTTTGTCTAATTTTGTGCTTCATTCAGCCCTTTAGGGATTTTGGATTCTGCTCATCTCATTCTTTATCAGGGACATAAATAAAAAAGAGAATCTTGGATTCCAATAGAATTTTTTCCAGGGTTTAGTTTCTAAAACCCACCTGCCTTTGCATAGGTTGCAATGAGGAGGTCATCAGGCTTTGCTTGAAAATTCCATATTTTGTCCCAATTATCACTAATCATTTTGGTCATAAGGATTCCGTTAATTTCTTTGGTTTCAGGTACCAGATGTTTTTCCTCTAGGTGCAGATCTTTCAGGTTCTCTTCAGACATCTCTCCAGGTGGATTGGACGGGTGCCTGAAAGAAAAGAATATGGTACCATTTCTTATCCTCAGAACGGTTATTCTTTAAAAATTTTATTATTATTGAGACTATAAACAACTGAATTTATGTCAATTCAACAATTTCCATATGTACAATCGAGTGACATTGATTACAGCCTTTAAGTTCATTCTTATAAGAATTATTTTTCCTGAATATTAGGAGAGGAAATATATGGTATGGACAATAATGTTAATTTGAGTGGGAGAAGTAAAGGTGTTGGAGTTTAAAAATTTTAAAGAACTTTTCTCTAGCGCTGTAGAGAAGAAAATACGTTTCTGAGGGAGACAAATGTCATAAGGAGATGTATTTGACAATGACTATTATAAGTTGGCCCATTAAAGACGGCCTGTTGGAGGGAGTGGTAGTTAATCTGGATGACAGGAGAGATCAGGCCACGTGGGACAGGGGAAGAGGGAGCATTGAGTTCATTGGTAGTTAACAAGTTTGAGCAACAAAAAGAAGGCCATGATGGAATTTGTGTTTAATGTATGATATTAATTCTACAAGTTTCAACTGGGGTTCCAGACTAAAACAGACTAGGAAGAAAGATCTGGTGATGTTTCTAAAAATTCCCCCAAAGAAACCTTATGGATCACAGCAGACTATCATCCAATAGTAACATCAATAAAGTAAATGAAACCATAGTTTTACAATTTTTGCTGCAATTTTAATAATAATTTTGGAACTTTTTGTATGAACTTTTAATGAAGAGAATTTGTTAAGCTAAAATATCTAACAGATAAGTCCTGCAATTGGGAGTTAATAAGTTACTGAGTGATTTATTGAGACTGGAATTTTAGTTTGAAAAGCTACATCAATTTTCAAAAATTTTAAATGTTTAAGAGAGTTTAAGATGACCAGATTAAAAAAAAAGATGACCAGATTAATAAACTCAGTTACCTAGATACTTGGATTTATTTCCACCACTTGTTTGTCAGTTTGTCACACTGTGGTTGTTTGTGTGTTGCTGTGCTACAGTAAGCTGTGCCACTGGCATTTCAAATACAAGCAGAATCATTCAGAGTTGACTGGTTTCAGCAAAAGAACAGACTACAAAGAAGGAATAGGCTGTGGAGCATTTTGGCTGTACTTCTTCCAAGACAGATTTATTCATTTTTCGGTCAGTCAAGGGTATATTCAACATTTTTTTGGTTACAAATACCATTTTTAAAACAGCACAAAAGGTGACTAAAACGAGTCTAAAAGCTGACTGTGGAACAGACTATCAATGATCATATGTAAGTTCAGGTTGAAGCTGAAGAAAAGTAAAACAAGTCCACAAGAGCCCAACTATGGCCTTGAGTCTATCCCACTTTAATTTTGAGACCATCTCAATAACAGATTTGCTGCCTTGAGCACTACTGACAGAAGACCTGATTTGATTAGCTGTGTGAGGCATCAAGAACAAAGATATCATTTTGAGGACTAAGTTGCGCCTAATCCAAGCCATGATATTATTAATTGCCTTGCATGCATGCAAAAGCTAGAGTGTGAATAAAGAATTGATGCATTTGAATTATGTTTTTTAAAAAAACCATTTTATTGGGGGCTCGTACAACTCATCACAATCCATCCATCCATCCATTGTGTCAAGCACATTTGTACATTTGTTGCCCTCATCATTCTCAAAACATTTGCTTTCTGCTTGAGTCCTTGGTA